ACGTTATCAGAAATCTATGCAACTGAACAAAGGACTTTAGACAGTGTTTCTCATATGAATTGTGGGGAAAAACCAGTTTTTTTTTAAATTCCAGTTTTTGGCAGACTGATATTTTTGTAAAATATAGTAGGAATGAATTACTGGAAAAATAAAATAAAAAAGCAGAGACATAAAAATCAAGTCAACGGGTCACATGTGTAGATATTGGGGCGATGCCGTGGATTGCTATAAAAATTTCAATGCCGCCTCTCAGTTCCTGCCCTTAGCTCATTGCAGACCAGCAACAGTGTCTGGCAGTGGTCCACAGAGCACACCTTGAGTAGCCCTGCTACAGGGGCCCTGCAAGGATTGGGTACATTCTTTGTCTGCAGTAATAATATCAGCCTATAGCAATATGAGTTGGGTCTTTGGTACAGGAGAGAAAAAAATGGAAGGTGTATTAGTCTGGGTTCTCCGGAGAAACATAACCAATAGGTATATAGAAATGTAGAAAGATTTATTACAAAGAATTGGCTTACATGGTAATGGAGGCTGAGAAGTCCCACCGTCTGCAGCTGGCAAGCCAGAGACCCAGGAGAAATGATGGTGTAAGCTCCAGTCGAGCCTCAGTTCCAGTCCAAAGGCAGAGACCAATACTCCAGCTTCACAGTCAGGCAGAGAAAATGAATTCTCCCTTCCCCTGCCTCCAGCAGATCGGCTGAGGCTCACCGCCAGGAAGAGCAATCTGCTTTACTCAGTCTACGGATTCCAATGTTAATGTATCCAGGAATGTCTTCCCAGACATACCCAGAAGAATATTTAACCACATATCTGGGCACCTCGTGGTCCACTCAAGTTGACATGTAAAATTAACTGTCACAGGAGGGCACCATCTGATATCAATATGAACGGGGCTCTTTGGTTTATTACTCTGCCAAGAAATGCACCAGTTCCTTGACCCTAGAAATGGGAACCAACCTTTTTATTTTTAACCTCCCACCACCTTGTCCATTATGTGAGCATAGAAAGAATCAGGCTCCCCAGTGCCCAGGAAATAGATTCTTCTTCAGCTCCTGTGCTTTCTGTTCAAATAGCCCCCTCCTCCCGATAGGGCCAGGTGCTGGTTCACCAGGGGCCCTGGTGCTACTCAGCCACTCCCCCACCTGAACACTCAGAACCCTAACGTGAAGTGCCAGCCAGCTTCTCTTCGAAGCTCAGCCTCTGCCATGTCCTCACGCACCCTCCTCTGTAACTCAGAATGTTTGTCTTCAATCTAATAGGTCTATGACCTCTTCTTTTCCCTGTATCTTACTTCATATAATCCTTAGCAAATAATTACTGATGTTTATTGAGAATGTGCATGGTGCTAAGTCCAGTGGTTTCCATACCTTATTTTATATTTCCAAAAATACAATCCAGTATGTATCAGAACCCCCATTTCCAGAGGAGGAAACTTAGGGAAGACAACTTACTTACATGGCTATTCAGAGCAGAGCTAGGATTTCAATCTAATGCTGTTTTTGCCTCCAAAGTCCTGATTCTTAATGACGAAACCATATTGTTTTACAAAAGATACAGAAAAAATTGTCCACACGATAAACAGTCACTTAAATAATATTACTTAATGAGTAAAATTGCCATTGAAAATATTTATATATATTTTTTGTCCATTGCCCTCCATAGAAGGATCCATCTTTAAATTTTAGTTCAGGACCACGTTTGTCTTTGCCGATGAACTTAACAGGTTTTCCTTCCTTCACCAAAGAGAGACTCTTGCTTGGGTTTCCCCAGGTGGCTTGGAGTGAAATTCAGTCCTTAATTGCAGCAGCTGTTTTTAGCTTACTTGAGATAATGTGCTTCCCTTTTCTGAACATGACTTTATTTATCTGTATGGATGGTTCGATTGCACACGTTTTCTTTCCTACTAGACTTGGAGCATTTTGGGCGCAGAGAACGAAGGAACTGAATATGTACCTAATTTTGTAAGCTGCTTTTTCCAGAAGCAAATTATGTTGATATATCAAATGAGATTCAGTTATGACTAGTTTTTTTTTTCTGCAAAGTACTCAGTGTTTATTATGTTGCTGTATGGGGGTATGGCTTAGATATGTGCGTTTGAGTATAACCTTGCTGCTAAGCTGTACAAGTTTGTATGGCAGAACCAAAGCTTCAGACAAGCAGGTAAAAGGTGGTAGCAGGAAGCTATTTATAAGATGCTGAGAAACTAGGTGATGAGCAGTGAAATGGAAAAGGATGTTTTCAATGCCCGTACTGATCTGAGTGGGGCTCCTCCAAGTAGGGAAATTAGATAAGCTTAGTATGGGGGCTTCCCATGTTTACGAAGAACTTCACTGAATGAGAAGATAACAGCTGATGAGGCAGCCCGGGTCCTGGGGCCAGTGCTGGGGGAGAGAAGGCACACAGGGAGCAGCAGCCAGTGTTGGCTTCTCATTCCCTGGACCTTGGGAATCTAGTCCTTGCCTTAGACCAGCACGGCACCTGGTCCCCGTGACCAGGATTGGCCTTCAGAAAAGGGAGAGTGACCCCAACTTATACAACTCATGCTCACTTTTATTTTTATAGATTTATTTTTTTTTAATTTTCTTTTATTGATTTTAGAGAGAGAAGGGAAATGAAGGAGAAAGAGTGAGAGAAACATTGGTGTGAGAGAGAAACATCACTTGGTTGCCTTCTGCACGTGCCCCAATCAGGGATCAAACGAGCAACCCTGACATGTGCCGTGGGCAGGAATTGAACTGGCGACTGTTCAGTTTGCAGGATAACACCCAACCACCCTGAGCCACATTGGCCAGGGCTGATCCTTGTTTTTAAACCTGTTTAGCCTGCAATTTAACTAGGAGAAAAGAGGAGATGGCAATTGAAGTGTTCTTCCAGAAAAAGATTCTTGTTCTCTATTTGCGTGTAAGGATAGATTTGGCTTGGGAGGGGGAAGTCTTACTTATAATTAGCTGAAGATGTACATCTTATAATTGGCAAATGTGTGTGCACTCTGTGACTAGCATCCTGCCGTCTACGATGGGCCTGCGGATGTGTGTTTTGTGGGTCATGGAGAGTTAGGATGGCTCTGGCTTCAGCCAGGTGTCTGTTTTACTTTTCAGGGCCCAGAACATTTGTGAGAGTCGCCCCAGTTGTTATAATGAATGAAAAGTACCTTTGATAGAAATAGAGAAATCAGGAAGTGTGGCCTATTTTTTAGGAAGATAATTAATTCCTTTTTAGACATCTTGAGTTTAAAATGAGAGTTTGACATCCGGATGGAAATGTCTTGGCTCAGCTGTGGCTGCTTAGTTGAAACAGCCACTTCGAAGGCTTGTGTTCTAGAAAGGATTTTTTTCACTAACGAGTTTTGTGCGCTTGGTCCAGCACTGAAAATTTTGGGAGTCTCATTGGTTGATCTCTAACTCAGCGGCTCTCAGCCCCAACAAGGACATGGCTGATGTGTACTCTAGACTGGGGAGGGTGGGAGAGTGCCCGGCCGTGCCTGTCACTCAGTGGTGTCCCAGGGAAAAGAAGACAGGACCCCCCACCCCCAGGTGCACGCTAGCTCCAGCGTCCCATGAGCACGAACCATTGCCACCATGTGGATTATTTTTCTCAGTGAGGTTTGAGAGTTAGCAAGGTTTGGGTATTTTGAACAGTGGTTCTCAGAGACTGGCCTTCTGTTGGCTGTGTTCTTGTAATGTATATCTTGTTACTCAGCGCTCCACTCCAGCTTATCCTGCAGACACAAGCTTAATTAATGTTGGAAGGGCCTCCGCAAATGACTTACATGGAGAATGACAGGTGTATGGGGAGAGTGCACAGAGTCCGTCTCTCTCCAACAGAGCTCCTGGCAGGGAGGCCCTCGCCTTCTGCTTGAATGCCCCCAGTGGCCGGGGGACTCCTTCCAGTGCTGCCCAGTTCATGTTCCGGGAGCTCTGTTAAGAAGATGTTTTTTGCCATGTCCTGCAATCAACTCCCTATTCTTCCTACCTATTCCCTAACTCTGCTCAGTGGCTTATCAATCCCCTTTGCCCCCTTTCCAGATGGAGAAGTGGAGCCTGAGATACTCAGTGGCTCTCTCACTGTAACAGAAAGACATGCTCTTTCTGCTGGGAAGGACTCTTCTTTCTAACTGCTTTCCCCCTTTTTCCTCGGTACCTGCTCTTTCATTCTTTTTACCACAACTCTTTCCCTCCCCTTTCTCTAAGCCTGGAGCCTCCGGCCTGCTTTGTACTGCTGGAAACTTCTAAGGCCCAGTGCTGGCCATCTGGGCAGAGGAGCTTTGGCTGGAGAGTTTGCTAGTTTGGGCAAGGGGATGCTTTAATTTCCTGAGAGGATGCTGAAAACTGCTTAGCTCAGGGATGTTGTGAGGTGCCATTCACCTTTACAGTAGGGCATGTGTGACAGGGGTCTCAGGGGTGTGCTAATAAGCCACTGGTACAACCTGGACAGGCGTGGGGGCTGCTTCTCAGGGATGCAGGCTGTTCTGCATATTGATCAATACTGAGCGCCTGGCTTTTCCTTCCTGCTTTGAGTGCTGTGTGAGTGGAACACCTGCTTTGCCTGGGGAAAGTGAAACACTTGGATCTTTTCAGGTTCACAGGCAAGATTCCCAGTCTCTGGGCAGCCCAATGTTTCTGGGCTGTGCAGTCCTTTCCTATGAGAACTGGGACAGAGTTTATCAGACTAAGGAGAGGGGCACATTCCTACGTACATGGAGGGGCAGCCTGAGGATCTCATGGTGTCCCACAGCCTGCAGGGACAACAGGTTCAAATTCATAAGTAAATGGGAAAAATGAAGTAAGACATACAATGAAGGAAGAGACAGAACTTGAGATCCTTTGGGAATTGTGCAGGCCATGGGCACCCTGGAATCTTGTGAGTTTCCCTCTGGAGATATTATTTTTTAAAAGAGAACACTAGCCATCTGAAAATGGGGGTGGTCCTGTAAGGAAGAGAAGGAGGAATGAATGACGATGTCTTTTTCTCCTCGCCTCTCTTCTCTTGTGAACAGGGAGAAGATGCCTTTCCACCATGTGACCGCTGGCCTGTTGTACAAGGGGAATTACCTCAACCGCTCCCTCTCTGCTGGCAGTGACAGTGAGCAGCTTGCTAATATCTCCGTGGAGGAGCTTGATGGTAAGGAGCCCGCCCTGTCTGGGAGCTTAGCCGCCCAAGAGAGCCATTTGTGGCTATTGTGCATCTAAGGGGAAAGAGTCTGGCTCTGGCCACCAGTTGTGGCCAAGTCCTAACTGCGGTGTGATGGGAAGCAGTTCAGAGATAAATTCTGCCTGAATGACTTCTTTGTGCAGGACAGACCTTGTAGCCTGAAAAACCTATGCTGGCTATTTGTTCCCTTGGATACTGACTGGGAGGGCAGCTTTCAACTCCCCAGGTGTATTTTCCAGTTTATGGAAGCTTTTTCACCAATGGTGTTGTCCTGTGTCCATATTGTCATTTACGATGGCGCTCAGCTATGGGGGAGGGTTAAGCCCTGCTAATGACTGTCTCTTGACTTGTGGCCATGGTGCTTTGAATCCTGCCCAGATCAGAACCATCTGGAAACTGTGCCGAGGTAGGAATGGACAGCAGTTATTTTTATTGCCTCTGTTCCTTCATAACACAGTGTAGCCCTTGGTGCTCAGGCCAGGGTCAGGGATGGGAAAAACCAGAGAACACAATGACTAACTTGGTCCCGGGACAGCTCCCCATTGTATCCCCACTGGTAAACCAACCCCCCCTCCAGTGGAAAAATTAAGACAAGGAAGAAGAAATTATTTTTTAGAATAGAGAATTAGGTTGATTCAGCCAGATGTTTGCCTAGGTGCCACATCTGCTGAGGCCAAACCAGCATCAGTTTTACCTAGTGTTTTGGAATGCTATGTTCCTTATAACACATTTTAACACATGAAGTCTAAATTTACTTTCTAAAAGAGAGAAGTCAGAATTAACCCCAGATGGCTCACAGCTTTGCTTTAAAGTGTAATGATCTGAATGAGTATACGCTTTCTAGGTGCATGTCTCTCACATGGGCAAGGTGGGCAGATTCAGCTCTGGGCCAGGGGAGCTGAACCAGTTTCATGGTGGGCAGGAGATGAGGGAAGCAGAGGACAGGCCTGTCCATAGCTTTTCCTGCCCTTGTTCATTTTGTGGGCATGCTTATATAAAGGCTTGCTTATTGACAAGAGTGAGTGGCAGAGGCTGGTCGGCTGGGTCCAGAGGAGAGGTCGCGAGGTCAGGGGGAGTGGGAATGATGTGAGCAAGGCCAGGGTCCTTAGGGCCGGTTGCTGCTCACTGAGGTCTGGCAGACCGGTGGCCAGAGAGGACAGCAGGGACCCAGACATCCTGGCCTTCGATTGGCTAGAGAACAGTTAGACACAGGACACAGACGAATGCCAGAGAGCCCTAAGTGCCTCTGAAGTGAACTGTCCTGGTGACCACAAAGAAGGATGAGGCTGGGCTGGTTGTATTTGGCAGGAGAGGTGAGGCTCACACCTTCCACACCCCAAGGAGTCCCCCCACCCAGTAGAAAATAGGGCAGGCGGTGCATTGATTTGGGGGGTTTGCACCTGTGTTGTATAGGTCCCCTGGGTTTACCAGTTAGCAGGAGTCGCCTGTGTGGGGCCCTGCTGAGCAGAGGCCCTGAGAACTGTCAACTCTTGAAGAGGCTGAGATCACTCACCAAATGATGGCTGAAAATCATCTCTGGCTTTCCCATATCCCATCCCACTTTCCATCTCCCTTTCTCCTCCCACCTCCCTCTTCCCTCCCAACTTTACCGTAAATAATAATAAAGAGACAATTTCTCCAAGACTTCTCAGAGCAACAGCTTGGACTTTTTTTCCTGTTAAATCTGGGGAGCATGGCTTTTCAAGAGGATGGCTGGCTAGAGTTCAGCCCTTCTTTCCACTTTGGGCACCTGGCTGAAACACTGTCTCTGTTCTTGGGCAAACATCAGAGTTCACCAGCTGTTTTACCCAGGTCCAGGCAGCTGAGCAGGGCTGAAATTTGCCTTCTTAGCAGGTGAGATGAGCAGGGAGTGACTCTAACAGCCCTCAAGCCCAGGTGAGCAGGCTCAGCAGTGAAGCCCTGAGGGTGGGGTGGGGCCTTGGTGGAATGGAGCAGGACTTCATGGACCGAGGGTGGTTGGGGAAGATGCTGTGTTTGTCCTTCAGGAGGGTAATCCTGGCTCTTGGCCTGGTGAGAGGCTGTTTATTTTCTGACAGAAGACTTCTTCTACTAATTTATTTTTTGCCAAGGTGACTCCTGCATCATGACTGCTCCTGCTTTCTTACCAGCACTGTGGGACTTGGGCAGGGCTGGGCAGATGGGCGCTGAGTTCAGAGCAGGCGGACAGCGTCTGACAACCAGCTGGTGTGGATCAGTTCGGAGGACTGCATGTTGGTGCTTTGGGAAGCTAAGGTTTCCAGGGCTTTGCCTGTTTGCTGTCCTCTTGGGGCTGCCTCATGCCAAGCTGAGTCCTAAAGTCCTGCCATTCGAGGCCACCAATTTATCCTCAGAGGTCTTGTGGTGTTGCACAGGGAGTTGATGTGGTAGACACTGGTGAAGCATCCCTTGTAGTCCGTCGACCTCAGGAACGGACTTAGTCGGGTGCTGTCCTCATTCCCTGCTCCCTGCTCCTTTCCCTGTACAGCACTGAGTCTGTGCTTCAGGGGAAAAAGGCCAGCAGCAGCCAGTTTCTCCAAGGATAAAAAGGCTGAGTCTGTGCTTCAGTGTAAGGGTCGAAGGGGCCCAGTCCATGGGTGGGTCCTTCTGAGAACAGGCATGACCAGAGCCTCTCTCCACACACGCCATCTCCAGCTGACGTCCACGATGGGAAGTTTGTTTCTTTTTTTCACACAAAGCTCAGTGGGAAATAATGCAGAGCTGCCTCAAGTTGGCCAGGTTGGAGGTGGAAATCGCCCAACGAACTCAGCCAGGATGAATCAGTCATTTATTCATTCATTTCTTCATTCCCGTTCATTCATTCATTCCAGAAATGTTTACCCAAATGCTTCCTGGCCAGAGGAGGAAATCAAGAAATATATTTGTTTCCTGTCCCCAAAGAGTTTGCAGTCCATCCAGGGAGTTCATTTATATACACAATTAATTAGCAGTATCTTGCACTTTAACAGGCTGCCATGTGAAATTTTATTTGACATGTGAATTATAATTTTTAGAAAACGGTTTTTGAAATGCTATTTATTGAATGATCTTGTGATGCCATCTTAATCTTAAACTAATTTCACCTCTAGCTGAAGTTCATTCATGTTCATTAATATATGGTGTATTCCATTATATATATAACTCAATTTCTCTAGCCATTCTATTCAGGGTGAATACTCGGGTTTCTGGTTTGGGGCTATGAGGGTTTCACCCAGCTGTCTCCCTTCTTGGCACAGCTGCGATGTTAGGGTCTGCTGTCCTCATGGCTTCCCCGCAGCAGCTGTGAAATGTCAGGGTTTAGATGCTTCTCATTATTGTGCCCGTGGCAATGTCAGCCCCTGACTTGCTTTCTCAGGTCTTCCTTTGGGCTTAGGTTTATCTGCTCTCACATCTTTGATGGTAATTATTCTGTTTCTTCTTCAGGAATGCCTCTCATTTTAATGCTAGATTTTCGTTCGTTTTTCACATTACGTGTCTCTTCTCTCGTCATTTTTCCCTTTTTTGCCCTTCTGCATTCAGCATTGCTTCTTGCATGTACCTTCCACATCACTGATTTAGTTGTCTGCCACCATTTAAAATTGTTAAAATTATTTATTATAAAAATTTAAGTAATTGATATAATATATATTATATATACATAAATTTTATACGTATACATATATCATATATATATGTATAAAGACTTTTAATTCACGTGTCCTGACTAATGCTGCCTTTATGTTGCATCAGGTGTTTTTATATGGTCCTTTTTGCTTTTTTCTGTTCTGCTTTGCAATTCAGCCATTATAGTTCTTTGCAGGACCAGTATCTGTGAGCAAACAATGTTCACAAAGAGTCTTTAACCTTTTTTGTTCTATCTTTGCTTTATCCCAAATCTGGGATAATTTCCTCTTTTCCCCCCTCCGGCCAGATTGGAGAGTCAGGTTTCTAGAAGACATTTATCTCTCTAGCCCATGGCTGCTGGGCAGAAGTGGGGTCTTGACTGCCCCTCCTGTTGGGTTGGCCCCCTGGGCCACACAGTTATAAAACTCCTTTGCTCTTCCCCTCTCTGGCTCTCCTTCCTGTTCTGAAACTGGTATCTAGTATTTAGGGATCCCAGGTACGTTCTGGTTCTCATCTCCTCTGCGGCTAATCCAGAAAGGGCTGCACTAACTCATGGCTCTAGTTACTCTCAGAGTGGTGTTTCCTGAAGGAGCTTAAAAAAGAGGTGCCGCCAAAAAGAAAAAGGATTCATAGACCTGGACAGCAGTGTGGTGATTGCTGCGGGGTGAGGTGGGTCGAGGTGGAAGAGGATAAAAGGGGGATAAATGATAATGGGGAAAATGCAATAAAACTTATTAAAAAAAGAAAAGAAGTGCTGCCAAAGTGGGTTTGGCTTGGGAACTGGATCACCACGGAAACAGTCGCTACGAAATAAGGGCGTGACTGCTTGCTCTGCTGGTCAGTGTGGCCTCTGGGTCCCTGGCAAGGGCAAATGATGGTGCCAAGTCAAAGTCTTTTTTCGCAATGTGCCACTGTAGTTCTCGGGTGGGAGGGGGTTGTGTTTCTCCAGTTTCATTAGTGTTGCAATTAGTGAACATTCTTCAGGCTCTGACATGTGTCCATATCTCACAATCGGTATTCCTGGTGATGTGCTCATACATACATTTTGGGCAGTATTTCCATTTCAGTTTGGGGGTGCGTGTCTCGATCTGCCGCCCTTCCATCATGAAGCCGCCTTTTAGTAGTTGGCTAACATCACTGGGACTGTCCCAGAATCCCAGCTTCACACAGCCCATGTTCCTCAATGCCCCATGCTTGCCTAGTGCAGTGGACACTCAGGATGTGTTCTGGACTTCTGCAGCACAGGGTAGTGTTTGTCGCACCTTTGGTTGTGAAGTTCGTCACTGTGTTGGCATCATGTCACTAGCTGCCTCTCCTCCTGCCTCTTTTCTATCTCTTTGTTATTTTTACTCTTCCTTGTGAACCTCTTA